CCATAAGGTTTGTTTTATCTGGAAGATGAGAACAATTACGGGAGCCATTTTCTTTTAGGACATAAATCTCGACATGCTGCATTTCCTTTTTTTTATTGTATCAGGTCATCCTTTTATATACTGTGATAAGTCACATTGGCAGATAACGTGTGATGGCAGGACCTGGCTGACCTAACACGATTATGAAATGCTCTGCAGTGCTTGGGGGATTATTGGTCGCGTTGTGCCAACATGTCTGAATGCACTGAATGCGCGTTGTACCTGGTCTACCTTAGGCAGTCAAACCATCTGCTCGCCTCTTTGGTGAATGGTTGTGACTGTATTAGACATCCTTCAGCAAGCTCAGGGAAATGACTATGGGCAGTTTATGTCCAATGATGTGTTCCAATCCAGAAGTCTGTATATATATATAGTAATTTCTGTTCCACAAAGAGATGAACATTTTGCTGCTTAGCTGAAAGTTGGCCATTCACTTGACAACAGTTTACATGGACCTACAGCTCACCTCACACAATATCATCTTATTGTACAGTGTCTTTTAGATCAGTGGTCGCCAACCGGTGGTACGGGATAAACTTTTGGTGGTCCGCAATTGCCCCCGGGCCCCTCTGATGCCATGCGGGCTGGACTGTCATTGAAGCGGCACGGAGGCTCTGGGGCTGCCTCTCACTGACTCGAGCAGCGGGTGTCACAAGGAATGCGCGGCTCTCAGTACAGTGCGGGCTCTTCAGGAGACGGGGCATCTCGTCAGTACCCGGACTGAGGAGGCTGCGGGACATAGAAAAAGTGGGGAGAAGCCAGGTAATAGTGGCTAAGTGTGGTGGAAGAGGAGGCACGGGGGTGGGGGCATTGCTGAAGCTAGGGGGGGCATGTGCCCCGGCGCCGCCGGCAGGGCCAGTGGCAGATTCGATAGGGGTGGAAACAATTAATATTATTACTGGGTCGGGGTGGGCGGCACCGCTCCCTCCCTCCCTCCACCAGCACTGCCACTCCTGCAGGCACACCCGCACCTATGTATGTATGTGT